CAATTCAATTATTGCTACATACAAACGAACAAAAATTTACTGCACACAAATAAACTTGGTCCCCAAAGGTTTCCCACGTTTTAACCAAATTATTGTCGTTACTTCGGGCCAAATTAACAATCATTCAGGTTCCAGGAAATCAATTCAAACTTTCATGTACTGGCTCTTAATTAATAATTATCAGAAAATCGCCAGACCTGATTTCCGGAAAACAATCTTAAAAAAACCGATTTCGACGAAATTTTGTACGTAAACGTGGTTAGAGTAATAAAATCCGTTAATCGTCTAACAAAATGCATTTGTACTAAAGTGTACCAACCCTCATGCGGACTTCATAGTCCGTGTATCGCTTTTTCCCAACACCGTGTGTCTCCGGATTGACAACATCGATCTCTAGAAAATTGGCAGGAGCTGCATAAGCATCATCCAATGTCTGTTTCTTTGCCTCAAGCCGTTTTGTGTCTTGCCTGTCACCAGTTTCTGTGGACGTGGCCATCATTTCCCCACTACCTCCAGCAAATCAATATGTCCGCTTAAAGTTATCCCAGTAGCCTCCTCTCGTGGTCTCCAAACCCCGCCAGTCAGCCTCGTTCTGACGAGCTTGTAAACGAGGCTAACATAAGCGCTGTAAACATCTTTGAAGATGCCAATTGCCCCGGCCTCGAAAATGCTCGAATTAACAGTGACGTAAACGAATTTCTTTACTTTTACTGGTGCTTAGACGTACGTTATGCCTCCTAAGAAGAAGTCTGGAAAGAAAAAAGGTTCCAGCAAGAAGAAGAAAGGGAAGAAAAGTGGCGCGTCCAAGGAGCCGAAGTTAACGGTGGAGGAAGCCATCGTGGCTTTTCAGTGAGTGTTTTTTTATTCTTGTGTCAGGTTCTGTTATTACGCTTTTACTTCTTAAGAGCCTTGTTGATTGTTCATATTTCCTTGGAGATTTTTTAGAAAACCGTACATTGTAAGAAATAATTAATTTGTCCTTGTGTTAGTAGTTTATTGGATCTCTTAGCAACGCAGGCTCTGTTCCCGCCGAGTTTCAATTAAATATTCATTATTTTAAAACTTTTTGTAAATTTTGGCACTTTAATAACATTTTATACTGTAACATTCTTGTGATATAAATAGTTTCTGTATAGCTGATACGATTTACTTGTACAGGGTTCTCGGTAGATATAGACGCGCGACCCATTGATGGCTTCAAAAAGCTGATGAGGCTCCACCCAGGGGTCCAGCCCCTTACCCTTTCATACCGTAAAATTCCGAAAATAAGCCCCTCCATGTATAGGCCCCTTCAAATATAAGCCCCCCAAACTGGTAACACAAATCACCCCTCCAATAATTTATAAGCCCCCAGGGGGCTTGTACTTGGAAAGTTGCCCTCAAATGCAAAGTAAAACAAAGCAAAAACAGTAAATTTACTTCCAACTTAGGCTCGATTTCCGCGGTCTCCCGGGTCCAGTCTTGATCTTCCCCGAAGAGAGGGGATGAGTGCGGGGTCATTTTCCCGAACAGCGGCTGGTAATCGAGCATACTTCCAACTATAAGGCTAGCCCAATTGATTTTGAAACACAAATTTCCCTCCGAATATAAGCCCCTCAAAAAATAAGCCCCTCAAAAAGAGCCTTGGAAAAATATAAGCCCCATGGCTTATTTTCGGAATTTTACGGTATACCATTTTTGACAGAAAAAAGTACCCACTTTGCATACCATTCATTGCTAAAAAGGTACTCTTTTAATATACAGGGCCTCTATTACAAATAAATTGATAACAAAGGAAGTCTTCTTCAGTTCCTTGTGTTCCTTTAAAAAAAAATTAATTAACGGCCTCTTTAAATACTTTAATGGTAGATTTTGCCAGTCCCTTCATATACTGTAAATGATCTAATAGATGCCCAGGGTGTCTATTTAATTTGGGGGGGCATAAGCGAGGGAATTTAATAGATGCCGAGGTAACACATACAACATCACACAACATTTAAATCTTTGACAGATTGACACTTTGTGGTTTATCTGTCACAAGCAGGTGTATTTGCACAAAATCCATTTTGTCACAAAGCTAATTGAGTAGTGAATAAGAAATTTTTCTGACACCATGCAGGTAGTTTATTTTATTTTTTGCATGAACAGATAACTATCTTAGTGTTTACAGCAAGTGAAATTCCTTAATTAATGGCTGGCTTCTTCTGCTAACCTTTAACTTCATGTTTCAGTCTTTCATGTTACGTTGTAGTACTGCTGCATATTTGTTATGGTTGGGATATGCAGAATATGCAACAAGAGTTACATTGTTTTTGTAATAAATGCATGTATTAATTCAATAATTATAGGATAGAGGTGAAACAAAGGAACTTTGAGGATCTTATGTATGACATGCAGTCTCTCCAAGAGAAGAATGGAAGACTCAAAGACAGGGTAAGAGTTATGGTAACAGGAAGTTCTGCACCTTCCCCTTCCCTAAACTTTTTAAGTTAACAAATTCCACATGGGTTAATATAATCATATAGTGCATTTCTGGTTCTTTTTATCCATTGCTAAGTAAGTCAATATATTAATTTAACAGAAACAAACTAGCACACAATCATGACCCCTACTTATCTGAGTTGCAAGATAGTGTTGTGAACATAGACAATGTCAACTTAATATAACAGTTCATTTTTCTGTCTGAAGAGTGGGGTCAAATCCAAGGGAAGTGGGGCTTAGTCCAAGTTAGCATCAAAATTGGAGTTACTGGAGTTCTACTGTTACGTAGTAACTTTCTTTGTGCAAGACTACCAGATATGGGTACAATATTTTCTGATCTCTATTATAAGTTTTAATGGATAATAAATGTACAAAGAACATATGATGCAAATTTTAATTATGTTTTGTGATTAATTTACAGAATCAAAGACTGAAAGAAGAGCAGCTTCTACATATCAAATCTCTCTTAAAACAAGTGAAAGAGAAGGACAAAGAAGTGGAGAAAGCTGTGGAGGTTGGACATGAGCAAGTGGAAGCATCACTCCTGGAGAAATTTGATGCAATGAAGGCGGAAGAAGCAGACGTTCAAGGTAAATGTAGAATGAAGCTGACTTAATGGAAACTTTTTTTGCTGAGATTATTACAGGCATACTTTTTCTCCATCATGAGCTTCCTTAGCACGGACACAATGGCCATTTAATTTACCAAGAAAAGTCTTTGACCAAAGTGGCATGCTTTCATACAATAAGTCTACGTGGTTTGAGAATAAAAATTGTATATTTAACAAGCTTCTTTGTAAATTGTTTTGGCAGTCAATGACTACATTTTGTATAGAAATTAAGTACCAAATTAACAACCTACTTACAGCGTAAATTGCCAATGAGTATCCCAAAATACAAGAACCTATTTGGCAAACCTCAAAAAAGTAGTTTCTTATTCGCGGTGTTTACTGCATTTGTTACAACCATGTACAGTTTTTTAAATGTAGACATTGCTCTGAAAATGGGGTAGTTTCTTAGGTGTTAACCATCCTTAACTCTTTGGTTCTGCTGTGACTCTTACATGGTTGTATCACTTTACAACCATCAGGAAAATTAGATACTAAATAAAAATGATAAACTAAACCAACAACTGGCAGATTCTGTTAGTTTGTTACTACTGGTGGAAATTAAATTACAAACCATAAGGCTTCCCTTTAATTATATAAAATTTTGGACACATAAAGTAATGAAATCATAATTTTTTACTTTAATACACAGTTCAGAAATTGTTGCTTTTGTATTCAGTGCTTAATGATCAAATTGAGAAGAAAGAAGAAGAAATAGGAGATGTGAGGAAGAATATAAAAAGGCTTGAAGACTACAGGGTACAATAATATGTTTACTGACTTATTGTTTCAAAAGTAACATGATTATAATCAATGATTACATCGGCATGCCATACCTGAGTTCTATGCTTAAATGATTAGTTAAAAATAGTGGGCACATGTGATGATTTTAAGTTTTTGGTAGCATTCAATCCCTTTGTACCCGGGAGCATTACAATTTGTAGAATGTGGTTAGGTTTTGCAATGAGTGTTGAATTAGCTCATCACTGGGCCAGGAACCTTGTACCAACCCTACTGTTAATTGCACCTTCTCCAAGCCCTTGGATTTCAATCTCTCTTTTGCGCATCTTTTGCACTTTAAAAAATCTTAGCCTGCGTCGCAGACACTTTTAACCGCTGAAAAGCTATTCCACCTCATTTATTGCTCCAGGGCATGAAAGAACCGCCAGTCAACAGACAATGTCCGGACTGATTGGGGAGTTGACCAGTCAACCTTTCGTCTTGAAAGTCATGTTGACTGGTCACATTTGATCGTTTGGAAATGAACTTAATTAAAATTTCCATGCTGTTCAGTTGTTTCAGTTGTTACCAGGACATGTATGTAGCGAGTCCCTGTGTATTATGCGAAACTTTGATCTGAAATCCTGGGTGAAATGCAACTAGAACCGTTGTTTACAATTCGCACATTGAAACATAAGCTTATTTTCATTTTGCCCACTGTAATTTATTTTTATTGTTGACAACAAGTGCTTTAAGCTATAAGCTCTAAGCAACGACTGTTTTGGAAATATATAACGCCATTTATGGTTCCTGGGCCCGTGATTTAAGAGCTATTTATCTTATAAATTTGACTGGCCAGAAATGATATATGACCGAGCTAAAATGAATTTGGCTGCTCATCAAGACCAAAGACTCTCCTGAAATTATTTCTAGCCCTGTGCTCATCTTAAGAAAACAGCTACAAGTACAATAATATAGGCTTTTAGCAACTTTTTCTTTCTTTTAACCTTCAGGACAAAGGTGCTGAGGAACATGCCAAACAAATAGTTTTACTAAAACAAGATTTGAAAGAAATGCAGGATTCACATGATGATATTGCAGGTGAGTATCATGAGCAGCTTATCAACTTTCCTCAGTCTCTAACAAAACTTTCAGCTTCAAGAAAATTAACCAGAAAATTCCAAACAACATCTCGTTTCAATTACAGGGGTCGAAAAAACTTGAATTGAAGCTTTTCCTTTGGGCAAGCACCTCTCACATTTTGGTTTTGGCCACTCTTCGTTCATCTTAGTTAATGATTTTGTTAGAGGATGTTTTGCCTGGACCTTTGCCCATTGGGCAAGTAAGGTTTGAATGTAACTTGCCCAGCAAGAAAATCTACCTGTCCTCAGTGGGACAACTGGACAGGACATTTTTCGAGCCCTGAATTACCCACTCATACCTTTTTGACAAATTAAGATGGAATCCATCAGCAAATTGAGTAATTTTAATTTTCTGTGGACAAAAACCTTGTACTAGAATAATTTAAGCAATATTGCATTCTTTTTTACATTTTTCAAGGGCTATAGATGTAATTCTTCGTTATCTGTAATAACACCAACCACTATTTCTCATGGGAGTCCGAAAAAATCAATGTCAAATTTCACAAAAAGACACCTTATACATGAAATTTTCATTTTACCCGTGTTTTCACAATTCTTGTGAAATTTGACATTTATTTTCTTGGGCTCCCATGAGAAATGGTCTTTGGTGTTATTACAGATAACTAATTTTATAGCCCTTGAAAAATGTAAAAAAGAATGTGATATAGCTTAAATTACTCTGGTACAAGATTTTTGTCCACTGAAGCTTAAAATTACTCGGTTTGCTGATGGATTCTGTTTTAATTCTGTTCTAAAATTATCTATCTTGTTGTGTGGACAGGCAGTACAAGTTTATGCTTTGACCTTTCCTTTGGTTGTTATTAAAATGACTGTGGTTGAATGTCAAAATGTCTCCTCTATTTTGTTCACAGCTCATTTAGAAAGGAGCTTGAAGATTGCAAAAGATGAAATTGAAACTTATACCGAATCCACAATCTCTAAGCAGAAGGACATTGCAAATGAGGTACTCGATTTCAGAACTTGTCTATCATAACTGTATTGTCAATGCGCTGTGAGTTTACATAATACTGACCCATTTGGCTGCTTGTTTGATTGTTCTTTCCATCCTTGTATCAAAGTTACATGCACTACAGTCTTTTAAACCAACCCCTTACCATTTTATTTACCCTCATTTTTGACCGATGGTACCCCTTTGACAGACCTAGTTTAGAACATTGCATCGCTTTTAACTGCTACAAAATGCACTCTTAAAATATGAGCTTTTAACTGCTACAAAATGCACTCTTAAAATACGAAATTAGTCCCAAACCAGGAAATTTTCTCGACTTTTTCACAGCCATAAATTTTACTATTAACCATTTCAACCCCTTTATATGGGCGAATCTTTGCTGACGTCATTGTTTACATTTTTCCTCATTAGCATACGACTTAACTCATAGAAGCCGTAGCCATATCATATATGAACTAAATGCAAAAGTTGAAAGAGCTGATTAAGTTAAGCAATTTGTGCAATTTTCAGCTCTTTGCAAAGCTATATTGAAGTAAATATTAGCCATCAAAAACTGCAAAATTGCTGTGTGGCAAAAAAAGTTAATGAGCCATATATTCTCTGTAAAATTTCGTGTTTTTAGAAGAGAATTTCTCCGGACCCATTCGGTGTATTGGGCTCAAATTTTCAGTGATAACTGAAACTGTTATGCCCTTTCAATATTCAGAGTTTTTATTTTATGAGCGTCATCAAATAGTGATAAGCATATGTTAATGAGGCAAAAACTGTAAACAAAGATTCGCCTATACTTCAACAAGTCAAATCCCTATCCTTTCATATACCTGAGGCCTAAAAAAGGCATCCCTTTTCTTAACAGGCCTTTTTAGGGAGTCCCCCCGGGGGGGTCAGTAAAAATAACAACACGATAGGCATTTTCTTCTTTTTTCAGAAAGCAACAAATAACTTGGATAAAGATAGCTGTGGAGAAATTTTAGACAACAGATGGCTGAAAAAAGAGGTACATCTAACTGCCGCCTGGAACTGAAAACAAAGCGTTGGCACAAAATTTAAATTCAAAACTGAACGTTGCCTGTACACAGACTTTGTTTTCTAATCAACGAGAACGCAAGCGAAGCGAGCGCGCGAGAACCAACTCCCTTGTGTAGCGGGCAATTAAGCCCCCGCGCTTTCTATTTTCATACCTGCACTTGACTATCTCTACAGAGAAAATAGAGGGTCTGTGAACAGGCTGAACTGAACGTTTACAAGGTCAATTGTTGTAAATTCTAATTTGGCCTACATTTCATTAGTGTTTGTCTTGCTAGCAGAGTTTATTTTTCTTCATCTTGGTTTTAGCATGCACGAAATCGTTCAGGCCGCCTTACGATTTCATCATGTACGAGTTTCTCTCGTACACGGTAAAAACCACACCGGAAAGAAACCTCCACTAGCACGGGATTTCACGTTTGGATGCTTTAAAATGACTACGTATGAAGCAATTAACAATGAGATGCTTTTGAACAGTCAGGGTAAGAGGCATGACCTGAAGATGGATCTGTTAGCATAAAAACTGGCCTTTGAATAATTGAATAATAGAATCATTTTCTTCTTTTAGGTTTCTGTTCATCGAAAAGGTCATGAGGAACTTTCAGAAATAGTCGAAGAACTGGAGAGACGAAACTTGGAAATTATGAGTGAAATGTTTGACTGTAAAGTGGAAGATCTCAAGTTTACAAGGTACGCGGGTCTTTGTATAAGAGCATTAATGATAGCTATGAGCGTTGAACGAATAACACCTGAAAAGTAAACGATGGAAACTATGCGGCTATGACAGTTACAGATATTGAAACAGAATCCAAATCTATAAGGCTAGTGACTACATCATTGTGCATTTGTTCAAAATCAATTCAGGTTAAAATGGTTTTAACCTAAAATTTAATTCTGATTCCAAATAATTCATCAACCCTTTGTAGTACTTTATTTTAGAAAATTAACGCTCCGTGAAGTTAATGTATTGGAATTTTTTATATGTTAACGTCAAGTTAACGAGAAAAGAATTCCGAATAAACGTGCGCAAAAGCGAGGGTCAGTGATTTTGTTACCTCTGCGTCCTGCGTCCCTGACGCATAAAAATCCTCAAAGACGTTAAATAAATTCTGGAATGCGTCCCCTAGGACGGAAAGATCGATTGATCGATGTGAAGATGTTTTTGTAGAATATCCTGTTTGTGTGATTTCTGTGGCTGTTGTGAAACGACGCTTATTTCTTTTTGTCTTTGTTGTAATTTACAATAGAAGTAGTATATTTTTATTTCAGTAAACTGTAATACAGAGTTTTGGAGTCTGTCGGCAGATTAACTGTGTGGTTACAAAAGACCCAGGGACTCACTGTTTTTTGAACTGGGACTCATGACTTTTCACAAGATGAGTCCCAGGACTCACCATAACTATTTCTAACAAAATCACTGGACGTTCACAAAGAAACAAACCTTGTTTAGAAAACAGGAACCGAAGTTAAACGTTTAATCCGAAATGGAAACTTTGTTCGTGGTACCTTCCCGATGGATCTTCACAGTTTCACTGATAGTGGTGGATCTCCACCCAGTGGTATGAAATTAGACGTTTACAAAAAACGCGACTTGAATCAACGGGAGTTTAAAAAATTTCATTAAGTGTTAACTTCCCATAATAAAGTATACGTTTCACCCAGATATCAGTTCATCTCAACTGACTGTGTTTCTTTTCAGAAAGTTTTATTTAAGCTGTGTTGATGACGAGGAAAGTTCAGATGAAGACGGTGGTGAAACGGAAGAGGTGTTTGCTTCCCACGGGGTCATAACAGAACAAGATGAAAAACCTGATGAATTACTAGATAATTACTTTCTTCCTGGAGAGGATGACTTTGAGGTCCGTAACTAACTTAGAACTAGTTAAGCAAAATCAGTTCCGAAAAGTTAGTTAATCAACAGCGATTTTGTGAAGTACATTAAAAACCCGCGAGTAAGAATCTGGTTTTAATAACCTGTTAGGCTAAAATTTGCCAGTTAGTATGCATGAACCTCGGTTTAAAATCTATAAAAAAATCAGTTGGGCAAATAAGACAAGTTAGCATTCAGGCAACCTCTTTCCCAGGGTTCTCTCCTACCCGCCCTACGGAGCGAGAGAGAGAAAGACGGGTCTCTCGCTCGCTCGCTCCGTAGGGCGGGTAGGAGAGAACTCTGGGAACGAGGTTGACATCCAGAATCCTCTATCGAGACATAGGTGCCTTTTCACTCCAACTGCAACGTAACGGTATTCAGATTTTATATAAGGAAATCTGGGATGAGCTGAATACGACCAAATGCTCTTAGCTTCAATGTATTTTTTCTTCAGAAAATAAGAACCTATTTAAGAACCTAGATGGCCTAAATTTGTGCTTATTACCGTCTATGTAGGAACCTGTTTAGGCTAAGGTGGGAAAACGCAGGTTCTTACTTACGGGTTTTTACGGTTTTCTTCTTCGAACAGTATAGCTTTTAGAGCTGTAATTCTTACAACCTTTTCTCGTTTAAGGGAGGAGGTATCACAAAAAACTCCAAATTTTCGCGTAAACTAAGCTGGAATTATAGAGACAATCTCGCTGATGTGCACTGGCCTTTGAACGACACGAAAAACATATGAATTCATTCTTTTACCCTTTTACTCCCAGAAATAGCCAAAGTAAAAATTTTCGAAATTTTAATTGTTACAAAGCTGAAAAACAAATATTACTGCGTTATAATACTGCTGAATAGAATTCATGTGAATGGCAACACCATAGGATTACATCCAGCGACGCAAAAGTTAGAACCGCCTTCTAAAATTCCATCAGTCACTTTAACAGTGAAAGTGTACATGTCAAGATGTAAAACCTTCCGAAGTCAATTATTTTAGAGTGATTTCTCTCTCATAACACTGTCTGTGACTCTAAAGATGACTACCGCACAAATTGTCGAAACTTCTGTCAACCTGACAACAGTCCTCCTGTTCGGGACTCACTCGCCCGGACGATCATATTCAACCCACTTATGACCCGACTCTTGGCTCAAACTATTTAGTCTAACCCCGCTTTACGGACACCTCATTATCACGGATAGTTTGCTTTGTCCCTGGGGACAAAAAGCCCTTACATTTTCTGTAAATTCAAGCCGCTTCATACGGACACCCCGTTAATACAGACACTTCCCCCCCCCCCCCCCCCTCCCCCCCCCCAAACCCCCGTTTTCCCAGGGTTTTCCTTTCTTTTAAAACAAAAAACCCCATTTCCCCTTGCTATTTTTGGGGCCTTCGAGGAAAAAGGTCAGGGGCGCCGGGGCCAAACCTCGGGCAGTGTTTCAGAGTACGCGTCCCGGTCATATGTCAAAAGTTTT